GAGATCGCTGGCTTGGTGTAGGCGATCGTGCGGCTTGACGTAGACACGTCGAGATAGCCCCAGTGAAGATGTTTGGCCCGCACCTGTTCCGATGCGGCCGCGGATGCGTGAGCTCGGAGTAGTCGATCTGCGTGGTCGCCAGATACATCGTCTTGCACCGGCCGGTTAGCGCCGAAGAAGATCGCCTGCGTGTGCTGAAGATCGTGTGGGTCGATGGAGCGGGTCGTGGGGGCGTGCAGATGGAGCCTCTTGTGGTCTAGTACACGTACGCAGCCCTGAGCCCACATGGAGCCTGGATTCCATGCATGTCGCCGTGGTGCATGCGTGGGTGCTGCTGCGCCGGCGTGACGCGCTGCTTGTCTGATTGAAGCCGCCTGCTCCAGCGCCGGGGCTCCATGCACCGACGTGCGGCTGCGCTCTGCATCATGCACGCGCCGCCGTACTGACCGACCGCGCCCACTTGTAGGCGTAGATCGCTCTCCCGATGTCGATGCCTTCATCCGCAGTGGATCGGCTGTAGATGCCGCACTAGAGTGCCGCTGCGATGCGAAGAAGCTTGAGCCGCCGGGCCGATGCTGTTGGACCGGACGTATGCACGCTCGTGGGGTTTATTTGTGGCTAAAGGAATTGATCTACGGGAATTTCGAAATTCTGATCTAATCTAAGGAATTGATCTAAGCTAGATCGGGTGCCGTGCCCCCGAGGAGAGGAGGTTAATCTCCCCGGGGGCGGCGCGCTGCGGAAGTGGTTGAAGGTCCTAGGATCGGCGTCGTTAGACAAACCGCTCTAATACCATATAGAAAATATGAGATGGCAGAATATTATGTTGTATTGATCTGACCCGTGTAGGGGTATATATAGAGGTACAATGGAGGGAGAGAGACTTGGAGTAGAGGACAAGTTAAACCTATCCTATTTCTATCTCTTATCTCTATCTTAAACATAAATATACTTCTAACAGTGTTAATATTTTTTTCTTTGTTATCGTTATAAAAAGTGTTTTCTTTCGTGTATGTACAGAAGGTTCGAGCTTGCTGATATAACATGACCAAAGAAAAGTATATACCATTACATATCTTAGAAGAGATTACAAACAATTTCTCAGCACACTCAATTATTGGAATGGGTGGGTATGGAAACGTTTACAAGGTATGGCTTGACACTTCATACCTGATTTTCCAAAAAAATGTACAGAACTGGCAACAAATGTTTCAGTTATAAACAAAAAATTCATGTACAATACTTATGTCAAGAAGGGCGATTACAATGGGAGAGAGATTGCTGTGAAATTGCTGCATGTTGATACGGTGCAAGGACTTGATGACCAACAATATATCAATGAAGTTGGTAACCTTTTGAGGGTTAAGCATCCGGATATTGTGCAATTACTCGGTTATAGTTAGGAAATAAAGAAAAAATATGTTGAACATAACGGTGAGAAAGTGTTTGGTGCACACATATATAGAGTTCTCTGCTTTGAGTACTTGAAGGGTGGAAGCCTAGACAAGCATCTCGGTGGTATGATAACTTATCTCCAACAAGATGATGGTCTTATGTGTTTAAAGAAAAATCTGAATTTGTAAATTCTGATTTGTTTAGTATTTTGTTTGTCAACTTGTGTAGGCCAATCTTTTGCACCTAACTGGAGCACACGTTACAATATTATAAAAGGGATCTGTGAAGGTTTAAATTTCCTTCACGAAAACGAACCACAAATTTTGCATCTTGATTTGAAGCCTGCTAATATATTACTAGACAATTTCATGGAGCCTAAAGTGGCGGATTTTGGATTGTCAAGGCTTTTCACTCGATCCCACACTCATGTCACAGAAAGAATCATAGGAACCCGGTAAGTAGACCGTGGAATGCTTCATTCTGAACTTTCATTCCTTTGTAGTTTAATAAATGGTATCTCTGACTGTCCTTGGTATCACGCAGGAAATATATGCCACCAGAATTCATAAATGATGGCAAAGTCTCACCTAAGAATGATGTCTTCAGTTTAGGTGTTGTAATTATAGAGATAATGACAAGACCAACAGGGTACTCCAATTCTACAGAAATGGCCGACGTGGCACAATTAACTCAGGAGGTAAGAAAAAAAATTCAGTTTGGCACTTCAGTTCATATATCAAACAACCAAATCATTGATGTCTATTCTCGATGCACTATGATCGTCCATGTGAGGAGTTAATAACCACAACAAAAAATTGTAAGCTAGATATACATGGTTGTTTCTTTTTTCGGAAAAGGGAATGTTAGGTTGAGCAGTCCAATAACTACCATTACTGGGTATCTACTATATGTATAAGGAACCTATATGTAATCGTTGGTCATCAACATAAACAACCAATAGTCTAATTATTCATGTAATTAATCTGCTTGCAAGTAGAAAATTCTAGCGTATAACTAGTTTTATAAACTACATGTCGAGTACCGAAATGCATATGTTGGGATTCTAAAAAATGAAAAGAAATGCACACGGAGAACCTCTTGCTTCATGAGACAGTTCATAAGCACATATTCATATAGTATATATCTCCCTTTTCAAGTTTTCTTCTGATTAAAAAGTGCTTTCGATCCACATTTTGGAGAAAGTACAAGGGTAAAGACCCTTTGCTTTCGTATCTGAACCCTTTAGAACAAGTACCGCATATGGTAATTTTATAATGTCCATCTCAAATGATATCTCTTTATTCGTGTTTCGTATGTACACCAAATGGAGTACTACGATTGAAAAAAGTAGACAAGCGTTGAAAAATGTTTTTTTTATGAAAACATGAAAGGAAAAAAGTGAAGGAAATCATAAAAAACAAAGAAAAAACTGTGAAAATGGAAGAATGAAATAGGAAAAAGGAAAACCGAAAATACTGAAGAAAAAACAGGCTTCAAGCAAGGGAAAAAACCAAAAAAATGTAAAAAAAATTAAGGTGCAACGTTGGGCCAGCCCACTGTTTCCTACGCGTAGGCGTTCCTAAGAGGAATCAGTACGAGAGAGAAATAATCCTCGCGGTCTTATTGTGGAAGAGAGTTTTCTTAACTAAAAAAAATACTCCCTCCGCCCGAAAAAGCTTATCCCAAGCTTGTCTCTTAAATGGATGTATCTAACACTAACTTGATGCTAGATACATTCATTTGAGGGACAAGTTTTTTCGGACGGAGGGAGTCTAAGCTGCTCGCTAAGCACGAGCAGCCCACTGAGTTGGGCATATAGCCTGCTCATCGAAAGGTCATTTTGTCTCTCCGTCCTACAATACTTAGCCTTTTTTTTCGTCGTGCCGCATGACCCTATTGTGGGTGTGTTTTGACTTTTGATTACCAATGCGTTCGACAGCCAAACTGTTCTTGCTCTCACTTACAAAAAAAAGCCTACAAATAAGAAGAAATATATATTTAAAAATTCAACAGAAAAGTAATTCTAGGCAAGGTGGAAAACTAACTCTACGTCCAAGAGTGCATGGAGCACATGTCGGACCCCCACCATCCATCTCCGATTACTCGCACCGTCACGGACATCTCACCTGCGTGCGATGTGATTAGACACCACGCATATCGGATTGTTTGTTAATTAGTAGTACGTTTGAAGATATCTTCTAAGGAAGGCCTATATATATCCTTTGGCTCAAGCTTCAGTGGAAGCAATCGCAACATCTCGGCGTGTCATCAATGTTGATGCTACCGTGTACCTCCCACCAGACGTCCAAATACAGATAGTCGCGCAAAGTTCTCATCGATAACCTAGACATATGAAATCATCCAGGAGCCGTGTCCAAGGAGGTACCATTAGATGGGCGGGTGTTGGACGTGTACAAGGTGCGTGCATGCACAGGGCATAGCATCACATCTTCACCGGCTACCGCATCAACTAGCCGACGCCCGCACTGATGCGCTTCTGTCTTGGGCACCATCGGGCAGGAGCCCACCTCATTTGCCCCACTACCATACCAGGATTCGAACCTGTAACCCCTCAAGGATGGGAAGCGACTCGTACCATCCTACTGTAACTTATATTTTATTTAGAAAGGGATACGCAAGCTATTTGACATATGTTAGCCGTATAAATTCAAATAATTCAAAAAAAATTGGGCGATATTTGAATTTCTCCCTGGGTAACGGAAGGGCCGGTTTTCAACTGGTTTCCGAAAATCTCATACGAGGAAAAAAAACCTGCATATGTGACACATGTGGACAAGAATACATGTAGTGTATATATGGGAACAAATGTGACACTTTTGACTGAGACTTTATATGGTGAAACTTCACCTTCCACACAATATATTGAGCATGGAATATTCGTGTGTCAAGAACAATTTTGAATGAGTATCATATGTCATACTTCTATATTATCCATCTCAAATTTTATCTCAATATTCTGGTTACGTAGGTATATAACAACTGGAAGAATATGATAGAACCCACATCGGAGTACCTATCAGAGGAACTACAGCAAGTGCAGACGTGCATCAATATAGCAATGAGGTGTGTGGAACCTGACAGAAACAAACGACCCACTATAGCAAATGTCAGGGGCGGACCTAGGATAAAAACTGACTGGGGGCGCTTGTCTATGTAAAACTCATGAACATGTTTACACAATCGTATAAACGTATAGCACTTTTCATGCATAAAAAAATCTAGCATTTTTCCTATAACAATAAGATACTTCATCCACGTTCAAAACAGAAGATACTTCATCCAGTAATAACATCACAAATTTACCATTAATATCCCTGTATTTCATATGTAGCAAAAGATAATACTTGTCTGACATAAATGCCAACAAATGATACATCATCTAGTAGTAACATGATAGGTTTGGCACTAAACTGAAGAAATCTTACAAGAAGGCTTTATATCCCAATAATTTCATAGGTGGCAAAAGGTAATATTTGTCTCCAAGACAAATGGCATTACCTGTGAAGAGAAAACACAGATTAGGACAATGCATTTGAATACAAATGGAGATGGTAAATATAGAAAGGGTGGAAGGTTTTAGACCATTACGTTTCATTTCTCCCACGACGATCTTTCATCTTATGGAAACGATCAACAATCACTTCATTGGTAATTGTGTCCAGCAGCTCCTTCTCCATGAAGCAAATTAGGCTATGGCTCAAATAACCATCACCAATTTTGTTACGCAAACCATTCTTCACAATCTTCATCGCTGAAGAACATCTCTCGACAGTGGCACTGGCAACAGGCAGAGTTAGAGCTAGCTTCAAAAGCCGATATACCAAAGGATATGAGAGATTCTTCCTAGTATCCACCATCAGTTTAGCCAAATCACTTATTCTATCCAAGCTAGAAAACCTTGTATCATGGAGTATATTATCTATATAGAGTCCAAGTTCATGCTCAAGAGTCACCATATCTTTGTGATTGAAGTCATCAGGATAAAACTTTGCTAATTTCAGCAACTTCTCCTTGTCAAAATGACAAAATAAATCACTTGGGCTCAAAGCAGACAAGCATAGAAGCAACTCAGAATTTACCTCATTAAATCTGTTATTAAACTCTTCTCCTAACAGATCGAGCACAGCAAAGAAACAATCAACACGATAATAATGCTCATTGCTAATGCCAGTCTTTTGTCGTGGCTTCTTTGGGTTAACATAGGCATCTTCCATGTCAAGCAGTGGAATGTCATGCTTCTCACAAAAACAACATACCTTCTTCATAAGGGAATCCCACCCCTCATTGGTTCTGAGCTTTTCTAACTCTCGCTTCGTTGATTCCACATCTGAAATAGCATTTACAATGTCTTTATTCTTTCTCTGTAAGGTTTTTGACAGCCCATTTGTTAAAGCTAATATCATCATCATCATGTGTAAGAAAAATGTAGAATCAAAGGTCTGGAAATATTTTAGAAGACCTCTAGCTTGCCGCCTCTTTCCCGTATCTGTGCCATCTTTCTCGACATATTCTAGTACTTTGACCACAGATGAGAACATCTTGGACAAACCCAACAGTGTTTTATAATGGGAGTTCCATCAAGTGTCACCTGGTCTTTGAAGAGATAATTCTTGATTCAGTCCAGTCCCCGTAGCAATCTCTCCACATCCTATTGCTTTTCTCACTTCTTCTTGGTGATGCTCACGAAGTTGGTCTTTTCTCTTGCAAGACGCGCCCACGACATTCAGCAAAACTGAAACCATATCAAAGAAATCTCCGACCTCGAATATCTTCTTTGCAATAGCCACAACAACCAGGTTGAGTTTATGAGCAAAACAATGTACATAATATGCTGATTTGTTCTCATTCAAAATTTTAGCTTGCAAACCATTAAACTCACCGGACATATTACTTGCTCCATCGTAACCTTGGCCTCTAACTTGTTCAAGATTCATCCCAAGTTGTGAAAATAATAAATCTATGCAAGACTTGAGATAAGAAGCTGTTGTCTCCTCCACATGAACAACACCAACAAACTTCTCTTGGACCAGTCCACACTTATCAAGATATCGGAGAACAACCGCCATTTGTTCTTTGTCGGAAACATCCCTACACTCATCAACTAATAAGCTGAACACACCATTACCTATTTCTTTCATCACATGGCCTAGTACTTCTTTTGCAAAGCACTCGGTAATATCTCTCTGAATTTTGGGAGACAACATTTGATTATTATTTGGAGCATTCTTGAATGCCTTAGCAACGACATCATTTTGCTTAATAGTGTAGTCCATCAACTCAAGGTAATTTCCCTTATTTTCAGAATCTTTAGATTCATCATGGCCACGGAAAGGTTGTCCCTGATGCAATAGGTATCGACAACCATCAATTGCGGCATTTAACCTGATGAGATGCTCATTCTTTTCAATTTGGCTTTGTCTATTCCAAGCTGCAGGGATTGATTGATCTTGCTTTAATAAATCCTCGCAATCCTTGAGTGCTCTGTTGTGAAAGCTGTTACGATCACCGACGTGAGTTACAAATCTCTCTGTCTTGTTCCAACAGTTGAAACCTTCTACTACAAATGCATCGTGCCCATGGTGGCTATCTTTAATGTTGTCCCTAAACAAATAGCAGCATAAGCAATAGGCTTTGTGCTCCTTCTCGCTGTACTCTAGCCAATAAGCATAATCATCATACCAATCCGGATTGAATCTCCTCTTCTTTTTCTTCTTCCCAATCTCCCTGTATGGAAATTCCAATTTGCGGGGCTGATTAGGTCCCCAAATCAAATACTTCCTTCTTATCTCGTCACGTTGGTTGGGGTGATAATCTGCCATTCGCTTCCTTTTAGCTGGATCCCGAGGCAGCTTATTCAAATCAACTAGTTCAGGCACAGCAGAATTATGTTTTGCTGTACGTCTTGATGCATTACTACTGCCACTTGAATTGTTGCTTGTGATAGCCCCCTGGGGCTGGGTGGTGGTGTTGGCATTTGCTGATTTCTTTATCAAATACTTCTCCATTATCTTCCTTCTTCTTCCCTATCAAATAATGGAAGCACAAATTGTAAAAGTTCAGGTACAAAACATTCTAGTGGAGCAGACTAGCAGGCCAGCAAAAGTACTAGTAGTAGAATGGCATGACAGATTGAATACCATAGAAATTTTCCAAGTACAAGTAGTGTGTCACACTAATCCTATAATTTTTTGATAGAACCAACAGTACATGGCTACATGTCTGATAGAGTAGTACTATTGTACTAGTACGAATTGCAAGTTTTCATTTGATTTGATATGAGATAAACCAAGGAATCAACTGAAGAATAAGGACCAGAGTGTAGTCAGGCAACAGCTAAGAAGTATCTCTGTAGTCCGTACCTAGGGGAGTTTAGTAGTTTGGGATAAGGATCGAGATGAGGAGGTGCTACAGACCTGATCAGAGATGAGTTGCTGAGGATGTTCCGTTGCTGCAGTACACCCGTCGACGGTGGCGCCGCTGCTGCTTGCGGCGGGCGGGCGGTGGCCGACGACCGGATGGCACAGGACTGGCACCCGCCAAGCCGCGATCCACCAATGGTCCAGCCAAGCGGCGGCCGAGGGCTCGCCTCTTCGCTTTTCTCGCTATTAATTGTGAGCTCCCAGAGTCGAAGCGGCAGGCGGCAGCAGGGTACACGTACGCTTTCAGCCTTGATTTTTTTTCTTGATTAGCTTTTTGTATTGGGCTTTACAGAAAGGCCGAACTGGAAGGGAGTCGGGGCACCTGCTATAGCCCGACTGGGGGCCTGCTCGCTAGCATCGGGACGTAGTACGAAGAGGACGATGAATCGAGTGGGGTCCTGGGCCCCCACTCGCCACAACATGCGTCCGCCCCTGAAAGGACATCACGTCCTTCTAGAATGGCTCGCCACATTTGAGACGGCATGCTCCCCAATTCAACAGTGAAGATTGAACCTTGTGGGAACTAGACCGCTTTCAGTATCTGTGCACACAAAGAATTCAGATGCTGAAAAATCCTCCATGATTGTCTTGCCGGGAGTGCAAGGTTGAATATAACTCAAAATCCCGGAATCCGAGACCTCCAATGAATTTTGGCTGAGTCATAGACTTCCATGACACCCATGCCGGTTTTATTTTTCCTTCTTTACTTCCCCACCAGAATTGCCTAATGAGTTTATCAAGATGCCCCCATAGTCCCCTTGGCAGTTTAAAACCAGAAATAGAATAAACCGGCGCAACTTGTGCAACTGATTTAACCAACACCTCATTTCCAGCTGTGGATAACATTCACTCAATCCACGCCTTCACCTTGCTCTATAACCTATCTTTCAGATATTTGAATGCCCTTGCATGTTGTGTCAGGGGCGGACCTAGGATAAAAACTGACTGGGGGCGCTCGTCTATGTAAAACTCATGAACATGTTTACACAATCGTATAAACGTATAGCACTTTTCATGCATAAAAAAATCTAGCATTTTTCCTATAACAATAAGATAATTCATCCACGTTCAAAACAGAAGATACTTCATCCAGTAATAACATCACAAATTTACCATTAATATCCCGGTATTTCATATGTAGCAAAAGATAATACTTGTCTGACATAAATGCCAACAAATGATACATCATCTAGTAGTAACATGAAAGGTTTGGCACTAAACTGAAGAAATCTTACAAGAAGGCTTTATATCCCAATAATTTCATAGGTGGCAAAAGGTAATATTTGTCTCCAAGACAAATGGCATTACCTGTGAAGAGAAAACACAGATTCGGACAATGCATTTGAATACTAATGGAGATGGTAAATATAGAAAGGGTGGAAGGTATTAGACCATTATGTTTCATTTCTCCCACGACGATCTTTCATCTTATGGAAACGATCAACAATCACTTCATTGGTAATTGTGTCCAGCAGCTCCTTCTCCATGAAGCAAATTAGGCTATGGCTCAAATAACCATCACCAATTTTGTTACGCAAACCATTCTTCACAATCTTCATCGCTGAAGAACATCTCTCGACAGTGGCACTGGCAACATGCAGAGTTAGAGCTAGCTTCAAAAGCCGATATACCAAAGGATATGAGAGATTCTTCCTAGTATCCACCATCAGTTTAGCCAAATCACTTATTCTATCCAAGCTAGAAAACCTTGTATCATGGAGTATATTATCTATATAGAGTCCAAGTTCATGCTCAAGAGTCACCATATCTTTGTGATTGAAGTCATCAGGATAAAACTTTGCTAATTTCAGCAACTTCTCCTTGTCAAAATGACAAAATAAATCACTTGGGCTCAAAGCAGACAAGCATAGAAGCAACTCAGAATTTACCTCATTAAATCTGTTATTAAACTCTTCTCCTAACAGATCGAGCACAGCAAAGAAACAATCAACACGATAATAATGCTCATTGCTAATGCCAGTCTTTTGTCGTGGCTTCTTTGGGTTAACATAGGCATCTTCCATGTCAAGCAGTGGAATGTCATGCTTCTCACAAAAACAACATACCTTCTTCATAAGGGAATCCCACCCCTCATTGGTTCTGAGCTTTTCTAACTCTCGCTTCGTTGATTCCACATCTGAAATAGCATTTACAATGTCTTTATTCTTTCTCTGTAAGGTTTTTGACAGCCCATTTGTTAAAGCTAATATCATCATCATCATGTGTAAGAAAAATGTAGAATCAAAGGTCTGGAAATATTTTAGAAGACCTCTAGCTTGCCGCCTCTTTCCCGTATCTGTGCCATCTTTCTCGACATATTCTAGTACTTTGACCACAGATGAGAACATCTTGGACAAACCCAACAGTGTTTTATAATGGGAGTTCCATCAAGTGTCACCTGGTCTTTGAAGAGATAATTCTTGATTCAGTCCAGTCCCCGTAGCAATCTCTCCACATCCTATTGCTTTTCTCACTTCTTCTTGGTGATGCTCACGAAGTTGGTCTTTTCTCTTGCAAGACGCGCCCACGACATTCAGCAAAACTGAAACCATATCAAAGAAATCTCCGACCTCGAATATCTTCTTTGCAATAGCCACAACAACCAGGTTGAGTTTATGAGCAAAACAATGTACATAATATGCTGATTTGTTCTCATTCAAAATTTTAGCTTGCAAACCATTAAACTCACCGGACATATTACTTGCTCCATCGTAACCTTGGCCTCTAACTTGTTCAAGATTCATCCCAAGTTGTGAAAATAATAAATCTATGCAAGACTTGAGATAAGAAGCTGTTGTCTCCTCCACATGAACAACACCAACAAACTTCTCTTGGACCAGTCCACACTTATCAAGATATCGGAGAACAACCGCCATTTGTTCTTTGTCGGAAACATCCCTACACTCATCAACTAATAAGCTGAACACACCATTACCTATTTCTTTCATCACATGGCCTAGTACTTCTTTTGCAAAGCACTCGGTAATATCTCTCTGAATTTTGGGAGACAACATTTGATTATTATTTGGAGCATTCTTGAATGCCTTAGCAACGACATCATTTTGCTTAATAGTGTAGTCCATCAACTCAAGGTAATTTCCCTTATTTTCAGAATCTTTAGATTCATCATGGCCACGGAAAGGTTGTCCCTGATGCAATAGGTATCGACAAACATAAATTGCGGCATTTAACCTGATGAGATGCTCATTCTTTTCAATTTGGCTTTGTCTATTCCAGGCTGCAGGGATTGATTGATCTTGCTTTAATAAATCCTCGCAATCCTTGAGTGCTCTGTTGTGAAAGCTGTTACGATCACCGACGTGAGTTACAAATCTCTCTGTCTTGTTCCAACAGTTGAAACCTTCTACTACAAATGCATCATGCCCACGGTGGCTATCTTTAATGTTGTCCCTAAACAAATAGCAACATAAGCAATAGGCTTTGTGCTCCTTCTCGCTGTACTCTAGCCAATAAGCATAATCATCATACCAATCCGGATTGAATCTCCTCTTCTTTTTCTTCTTCCCAATCTCCCTGTATGGAAATTCCAATTTGCGGGGCTGATTAGGTCCCCAAATCAAATACTTCCTTCTTATCTCGTCACGTTGGTTGGGGTGATAATCTGCCATTCGCTTCCTTTTAGCTGGATCCCGAGGCAGCTTATTCAAATCAACTAGTTCAGGCACAGCAGAATTATGTTTTGCTGTAGGTCTTGATGCATTACTACTGCCACTTGAATTGTTGCTGGTGATAGCCCCCTGGGGCTGGGTCGTGGTGTTGGCATTTGCTGATTTCTTTATCAAATACTTCTCCATTATCTTCCTTCTTCTTCCCTATCAAATAATGGAAGCACAAATTGTAAAAGTTCAGGTACAAAACATTCTAGTGGAGCAGACTAGCAGGCCAGCAAAAGTACTAGTAGTAGAATGGCATGACAGATTGAATACCATAGAAATTTTCCAAGTACAAGTAGTGTGTCACACTAATCCTATAATTTTTTGATAGAACCAACAGTACATGGCTACATGTCTGATAGAGTAGTACTATTTTTGACGAAAAAGCAGCAGGATGCTGATTTTCATTGATGTAGTGAGAAGTAAGGTACAAATACAGGGATGGAATCAGGGAACCCTAACAAATCATGGCTAGAGGTCCTGCGTGGTCTCGTTGGTCTATACCCGGGCTCATGGTGGCTCGAAAAATCTGGTCATTGGGGCTAGGCCCGCTTGTAGCCACGGTCTTGCCTCGTCTAGGATCCTGGAGTGGACTTGGTCTGTCGTGCTGGCCTTGGAATGGAAGATACGCTCATTTCTCTCTTTCCAAATGCACCAGGATACCAGGAGGCAAGTGGCTCGCCATGTCGCCCGGTATGCACGCGGTAGCGATCGTGTCTGATTCCGGAACCGCGATCGGAGGCTGTTACCGGCGGCCATCGGCAGGTTAGAGAAGGGGGTTCCCAGCGATTGCGCCGTCTTGAGCCAGACCTGTGCAGAGAAAGGGCAGGCCGCGACGAGGTGGACGGCCGTTTCCGGTGCTCCTCGGCATAGCGCGCAGGCCGGGTCATGTGGTATTTGCCGGCGTTGAAG